GTAATTGTAACCCCTCTGTACAGTATGTTCACAAATAAAATTAAATTTAAAAAAAAAAGTCCTTAATGTAAAGACAGAGGCGAGGCCTCACTGGCCAAGAACTGCAAGTTGTGCACAGACCCATACTTGTCTGTGAAGCTGATTATATGTGGCATAGAGCAGAAGGGACTTCAGGCAAGTCCGAGCCATGTACAGCAAGAAACCACCACCAGGAAGAAGAGAGAGAAGACAGCACGGGGAAACCTTCCATGTTGGACAAATGCTAGGAAAATGGAGAAGAAAGAACAGGCCGGACTGGCTCTCGACAGGTGAGGACTGTATATTGAGGTACAGTGCAGGGCAGCAGCCTTCCCGCAGGCGTGGCAGGTGTGCAAGGAGGTACAGGTGAACCTAACCACACCCATTGCTCTCAAAGTTACAGGTACCACCCCAGGGATACTCCATGCCAGGACCAGCAGGTTCCCATGCCCATGGGGCGCTGGAGCCCCCTCAGTGAAGTCCAGCTGGATCCGCAGAGGAGGCTCTCGTCGTTGACTTGGGTTGTTCTTCCAACAGGTGGGGCAGGGGCAGCAGCCTTTTGATACCAGGCATGCAGAGGGGCAACACTCATAAAGCCCCTTCCCTAGGACTCCAGGACCTTATCCACACCCGTTCCACCCATGTGCATCTGCTGATGTAGCTGTTGGACGACTTAAAGGCTGAGCACAGCTGGGATCATGGCCCTGTGTTCAAGAAAGGAGCCACCATTCCCCTTGCTTGAAAGCTCTTCTGGCACTTGGCCCGCTGGTCTTTACACCGTAAACAACGCTTGGGCAGGACCGGCGCCACCAATGCCTCGTTTGGCTGCTCCCTGGCCATCCTCGTCAGCAGACGGGTTTCCTGAGGTCACCGGATCTTCCCCTTTCCGACAGCCTTGGCAGTGGGTGACTGCAATGGACTTCCACTCCATGTTGCCTGCAAGAGGCTAAAGATTTCAGTGGCTTTGCCTTCTGAGGTAAGCAGCACCCTGTGAAGAGTTAAAAGTGGTTTTGTTTCGAAGCAGTAACCCTTCTGCTGCTCATATTAACTTTGGGCCCACCTGAATTTCAGAAACAGTCTTGTTTGTGCTGAAACTGCTAAACCATAGATTACTTGAACAAAGCTACTCTGAAGTCAGGCCCCACTTTGTAATATAGCTAACCTTGGCTCCCCACAAACTTCAGGAGATGACCAAGCTGGCCCAAGATAAACAGACCCTGCAACAAACTCTGACCACCAATTATCCCAGCTACAGCTTATCAGAACCCAACCAGCCAGGAACCTCCCTGCTAAGCTTTAACTGCTCTGGAATGTCCAGATGGCCCTTTAAGACCCAGCCCTCTGCATGCCTGGTATCAAAAGGCTGCTGCCCCTGCCCCACCTGTTGGAAGAACAACCCAAGTCAAGGACGAGAGCCCCCTCTGCGGATCCAGCTGGACTTCACTGAATGCCCTGATGACGCCTCTGGTTGCTGTAAGTTTGTCAGTCTGTGATTTTTTTTTCCTTCTCCTTTTGTCACTTTGTAGTTTTTGCCTTTATAAACCCTTGAAATTTCAGCTTGGGGCTTCCTCCTAAGCTCTGCAGTGTAGGTGCGAAGGACGAAGCCCGAGCTGCAGCCCGCAGCCCCCCTGAATAAAGCCTTGCTTTTGCATTTCAGA